CCGAAATACCAGAAAGGGGTCCCGATGAAATAGCAGAGGACTCCTTCTTACGCTTCACCCATTGAGCTTTAGGCTTCTCAGCTTTTTTCTTCACAGAAAGACCTGAAGAGGAGGTCCTTGTCTTTTGACAGGTTCGGCTGACTCTTCGAGGAAGGGCAAAAAGCCTCCTTATAACCAATTTCCTTGCAAACAAGGCAGAAAAGAGGAAGCCATGGGTAGGAGACTGACAGAAGAGAGATAAACCCATCCTTACTTTCTATCTCCATGGATAAGGGAAAAGGTTTTGTTAGATCCATTATCACCTTAATATCAGCCGAGTTGATACTGGATAAGGGTTTAGCATCCACTACCGGACCTAAAGGACGAGCAATGAAGCTGAGACCTTCATCTGTAACCAAATCGAATGGAATATTTTTTTATTGAAACCCAGATTGGAGCCCTTTGCAAGGATGGAGGGTTCAGACTGAAGGAAGCTTTCCATTCAGTAACAAAAAATGGTGAGTCCCCGAATCTCCCTAGGTCGTGCTGAAGAACTTTCTTCCTTAAAGTAGCAGAAGGGATATGGAACAAAAACGCATACGAAGACAGGTTATGAATCGTAACCCTTCTGTCTTTGCCCCACAGGAAATTTAGGACCCCCCATATCTTCCCATAGGAAGGCAGTTTAGCGTAGAAGATTCCCACAATGAAATCCGAGTGGAGTCTGGCCCCTCTCTCAAACACCGCTGTCGGAACCTTAACCCTAGGAATACCCTCTTTAGAAATCATGATTTCCATAGAGGAGCTTTTGATGCGACAATTTGGCCTCAGATTCGAAGCCCAGATTCGAGGAGGTAGAGAAGAGGAATCAGCATTCGAAGAAACTTTCGGAGCTTCCTGAGAGGGAGGAAAATCTGAAGGAATAGAATCGGCCCCAGCCACCAGAGGCGAAGAAAACCCAACCTGCGGAGAAGAAGGACCCAGACCCAGAATACCTGTCTCAGAGCTTGAGACGGGAACAGCAGGGATGACAGAAATGACCGTCGGCGGCGGAGGAGAGAGAACACCCGCGTCGAGCATAACTGAATCACGAAGGGGAGGGGAAGAGAAGACCAAAGACGTGGAGAGAGGGGGCCCGAGAATCAGCAGATCGTCGGGAGGAATTGGTGGAACCGGAGGCAGGGTCGATATCAGAGATGCAAACTCGCCGGAAGCGCAGAGATTAGAGTTCAGAACAGATCGGAAATCGCACTTATCTTCGCTCTCGAGAGAAGAACCTCAAGTTTGTCTCCCTCTATTATATATGGAGGAAATATTTAATTTTTTTTACTGATTTTCTCATAGATCATACTCTACCATCCAATACAAAACACAAGAAGTATTTTAGAATGTTGTTATATAGACTAATAATAATAAATAACTACAATTTCTATAATGAGAGATGAGAGTTTTATTCAAATTTATAATATATGATTTTTTTTTAAAAAAAACTATAAAGTATAAAATAAACTATACAAATCATCATCATCTCATCTTGTTCACTCAATCAGCTGGAAAATAAAAAAGATAAGTAATTTTATTTGTAATCAAGATGATCTGATCCCACATGATAATTTTTTTTTTCTTTTGACAAAAATTGTTTGGTACGAAGATGCAGCACCATTAACATAACTATTATGTCGTCATTTTTACATTTTATCATGTGATTTGGATTGACTTGTGCTGGTATTATATTCATGACATTCTAATATCGTAAGATTTATCGATATACAGGTTTAACTTTGGTTATAAACTACCGTAATATCGTAAAAATGTTATAAAAAAATGAAAGCCAATATTTGTGAATCTAAAAATTGATATTTAGGAAAATGCTTCGCCATTTAAACTTGGTCGGCTCGTACAAAACTTGTCTTGTCAAATTGAATAATTTACAAATGGAAAGAACTCTAAGGAACACAAGAAAAATTTAATAGAAGAGATGAGAGTTGGATAGAAAAAAGAATGTGAAAGGGAAACGAAAAGCATGTTTTCAACAAGAGTCAAACAAGTCGTCTCGATTGGCACTAAAAAAAATTTACATTTTAAATAACAAACAAGAGGAGACAAAAATGTGACGACTAACGTGACGTTTCACATATCTATTCAAAATCCTAATGCACGTATTATATCACCAACTATATATTATACATCCAAGTTGTTACTTTAGGTTAAAAACGTGGATCCAACAAAGTAACCAATCCAACTCATCTCTCTCTGATCTCTCTCTCGCACAAACATCTCTTTCTCTTTTAGACATCCCTCTATCTCTCTCTCTAAAAGCCAAAGATGGATAAATCAGCAATCCAATGCTTCTTCTTCTTACTTCTCACCATCATCGTCACCATTTCATTTTCGAATGCTCAAAGAGAAGTTGGTGAGCTATACACTTGATCTTGATTCATTGTTTTCCATACAAGTCTATATTCTATTCTACTATATATTATGATTGATGGATGGATGAATGTAGAGGATGAGAGTGAATTCAGCTACGAAAGGAACGAAGAGAACGGGCCAGAGAAATGGGGGAAACTGAAACCGGAGTGGAAAATGTGTGGAAAAGGAGAGATGCAATCTCCTATTGATCTTATGAACGAAAGAGTTCGAGTTGTTTATCATCTTGGAAGGCTTACTAGAGACTACAAACCTTCCAATGCCACTCTCAAAAATAGAGGCCATGACATGATGGTATACACATATACATACCCTTCATATTTAATAAAACTCGGACTACTTATAGAAACCACGGGTTAATGCCATTTATAACGTCTATAGACTCTATACAATGGTAACAAAATAAAAAATAAAAATCACATCGATTTTCGTAGATGATAAAACTCCATTTCTGGCCTTGATCTACATCACGAGTCATCTACCTACTCGAAACGACTATTGGCCAGATGCTCATGGCTCCTCATTTGTAATTTTCATAGTTTTTTATATAGATATTCTTTACTTTATTTATTTGGTTGCAGTTGAGATTTGAAGAAGGGTCAGGAAGTATTAAGATCAATGGTACTGAATATCAACTCCTACAGCTTCATTGGCATTCTCCCTCTGAACATACGATCAATGGAAGAAGGTTCATATAAAATATGTTATGTATAAATGATGGAAGAAGGTTCATATAAAATATGTTATGTATAAATGTACCGTATAGCAATTAAATCTTATAATATTCTAAGTACTAGGCTAGATGTAGTGGTGGGGTTACGTTTATAGAGGCCCTATACGACTTAATAAAGAAACCTATTCAAGAAAGATAAAGCATTGACAAACGATGTTTGATAGAATATTTTGAAATATTTTACCTTAAAAATGGCAGGTTTGCTATGGAGCTGCACTTGGTTCACGAAAGCATTAACGGAAGAATGGCTGTAGTCACAGTGCTCTACAAAATCGGAAGGCCTGACTCTTTTCTCAGATTGGTATAAATCTCAAGAAATAATTTTTATTTGACTAATTTAGCTTTTACTTTTCTAAAGAACTAGAAAAAACCTTGGAAATGACAGTTTTTTTCAATTTTTTTTTTTCGACAGTTTTTTTTTCAAATTTACTGTCAACTTGCAAAACATATATGCATGTCAAACTCACTAAATTGAAAATTTAACCCACAGTAACTCGTCGTCACCATCGTCAAGTTTGTTACATTAAGATAAATCAAATATCAAATCGAAAAGTCCAAATTTTGCAAAAAACCTTTTTTAAAATAAAATTTGTTTCTAACCAATTTTCTTCGTTGGTTTTTTGGATTAGTTGGAAAATAAATTGTTAGCGATTACAGATCAAAATGAAAAGGAGAAAAATATAGGACTGATTGATCCAAAGAAGATTAAGTTTGGGAGCAGAAAATATTATAGATACGTTGGATCACTCACCACTCCTCCTTGTACGCAAAATGTTACTTGGACCGTCGTGAAAAAGGTATATCATTTTCACCCTTATTTCCCAAATGTTATATATATGTATAAATAATTTTTTTTCTGAGTCTCTCTTTGTGATAATTTATATCATCTCCTTAATTTCGTATATCTTATTTTCGTTTTCTTATAGGTAAGGACAGTGTCGAAAAACCAAGTGAGACTACTCCGAGTGGCTGTTCATGATGTGAGTTTTATTTAAATGACAATGTATACTTGTCGGAAATTTTCAGGTTTTTATAACTATATCTGAGAAGTGAAATATATCTATGTTTGCAAAATAAATTTCCAGGATTCAAATTCAAATGCGAGGCCGGTTCAACCTACAAATAAGCGCGTGGTAAACTTATACAAACCAAAATATTGTTGAATCAAATACATTGCATTTTATTATTTGTACAATAAACAGTGTAAAGGATGTGTTTCTTGATTATGATTTTGTGTTTAGATCAACAATTCATTAAAACTACAAAGTCGAAGAAAATATGCATTGCCCTATAACAAAATGATTATCTAAAAATCGGTAGATAGCTTGGGTGACCAATTAATTAACTATATAGTTATGGATAAATTAAAACAGAACTAATTGTAGCATTATTGATGTCCATCAATTGCTAAAAGAAAAGTAAAACTTAATTTTTTTAGAGGATTAAGAAACTGACTAATTAGCACAAAACTTAGTTTAACAAAAACAGTAAAATTTCTCAGTTTGCAAGATCGTAAGAAATAACAAAAGTGGACGAAGTTGACAAATCAGGAAAATTAACAACTACGACATAAAATCGATATATGTATGTGCATGAATGAAAACATTTAACAAAGTGAACTAATTTCCATTTACGCAAAGTAAACAGAAAAAAAATAATAGAAAACCCGAAGTAAATTTAGTAACAAAATGTAAAATTTCCCATATTACAACAAGACCGTAATGGAATTGAAAAAAGTAGACGAAGTTGGCAAATCAAGAAAAATAACAATTACGACAATACGTCCAAAATCTATATATACGTGCATGAATGAAAACATATAGCATTGTGTCTCAATACGGAAAACTCTGATTCGATCACCATGTCTCTTGAAGCAGCCACAATGACCATAACTCTCTTTTTTCAAATCATTACATCTCTTCTCTTAATCACCACCACTGCCTCTTCATCACCTCCTGGTGGCTTCACCATCGACTTAATCCAACGTCGCTCTAACTCCTCCTCTTCTCGATACTTAAACACGAACCAGCTCGAAGGAGGATCTACTTACGCCAACACCGTCTTTGACACCTCCGAGTATCTTATGAAACTAAAAATCGGTACTCCTCCTGTCGAGATCGAAGCTATCTTAGACACGGGAAGTGACCTCATATGGACACAATGCTTGCCTTGTCTTAAATGCTTTTACCAACACGATCCACTATTCGACCCTTCAAAATCCTCAACCTACAAAGAGAAACTATGTCAAGACAGCCCTGACCATACTTGTCCTTATCTAGTTCACTACAACGACGGAAGCTACTCCAAAGGAACCCTAGCGACCGAGACAGTCACGTTACAATCAACTTCAGGCCAACCCTTTGTGATGCCTAATACCACCATTGGATGTGCTCACTACAGCTCAGGGTTTAATTACACAACCGGTTCGGGTATTGTTGGTCTAGGTTGGGGAGCTACATCGCTCATTACTCAGATGGGAGATAGCTTCCAAGGTCTTATCTCTTATTTCTTTTCCGGTAACGGAACTAGCAAGATCAACTTTGGAAGCAATGCTGTAGTGGCAGGAGATGGGGTTGTAGCAACCACTATGTTTCTCAAGACGGAGAGACCAGGTCACTATTACATAAACCTAGACGCGGTCAGTGTTGGGGAGAAACGCATTGAGACGTTGGGGACACCGTTTCACGCCTTGGATGGGAACATGCTCATAGACTCTGGAACCACTTACACGTACTTGCCCGGGAGCTACTGCAACTTAGTGCAGGAGGCAGTGGATAACGTTGTGACAGCGGAACGTGTAGCTCGGACGTGGCCCAATTTGGTTTGCTACAAATCTAAGACCATTGATATCTTTCCGGTGATCACAATGCATTTCTCGGGAGGTGCTGATCTTGTTTTGGATAAGTACAATACGTTTATGTATATGGGAGGAGACGTCTTTTGTATGGGGATTGTGTGTGCTCCGATAATACCAAATGCTGAAGATGCTATTTTTGGTAACAGAGCACAGCACAATTTCTTGGTTGGTTATGATTCTTCTTCTTCGTTGGTTTCTTTTAAGCCCACCGATTGTCATGCATTGTGGAGTAATGGAGTTAGAGAAACCAAACCAAGAGAGTCTTTATCTACATTACTGTTTTTTGTTAGAGTTTTTACTTGGTTTGTTTCTTTATATTTGTTCTTTCATTAAGAGCATAATAACATGGATTTGTTTTAATGAGCATTATACGAATGAGTTGCACAACAATCAGAGCCGTGTCTAAGGTATAAAAAATTAGGCAATGGCCTAAGGCCACATCAAAATTAACAAAATTATAAGGTCACATTTATTCAAAAATAGGCTTACATATATAGTTTAATACATGTATTGAGTTTATTTGTTTGAAAAAGTTCATAATCTTAAACATTTTTATTGTTATAAGAGAAATTAAACAGTTTGGTTATCATATCAATAAAAAGAATTAATTAAAAAAATTGAATATATGAATTTGATAAATGCTTTTGTAGGAAAAATGAAAATAATTGTAATTTAGAATTTCTATATTATTTATTCCTTATTATCATTATTTTTGTATGTTTTAATTCATTATTATAGTTTTTTCTAAAAGTGTTATTTTTATAATAAAGGCCACATGTTTAAATTTTGCCTAAGACCTCTATAAATCTAAGCACGGCTCTGACAACAATATTATACAGACTAGTTATTGGGCAAAGTCGAAAGATTCAAAGATTCACAATCATAAACTGAACCAAAACACTGGGAAAGTTAACCGGGATTCAAATCAAAAGTGATAAAAAATCACAAATCTGCTCCATTTCAAGTTTTCTAGAGCTATTTCAACCTGGACCACAATAATGCTCTAGAGCAAACCTTAATATTCTCAAAAATGAGCAATGGTATCACTAAAAACACTAAAGTCAGAAAGGTTACCTAAAAAGAAAGCACAAAGGAAAGCTGTGTTGTAGTTTTAGCCTCTCACAGCTTGAACCGTTGCAATCATGTGAGCCATGACAAGAGCGTATCCAACAGCTGTGTGCTGTGGAGTGTAGCTGTCTACCAGACCAAACTCCCCAAAGTTGAGCTCTATGTTCACAAACTTACCAAGCAACGACCTTTTAGACAGAGCTTCATGCCATATCTCCAAGAACTCCTCCATCACTTATCTTGCCTTCTCCATTGATGATATAGGAAGATACTCCACCTGAATAGATACACACACAACCATATTAACTTCATACTAACATAAACTCCAACCTGAGATTACAAGAAACAAGACAATTTGGATATATTTTAGTGTCATACACTTATTTATTACATTTCAAAGTCATACAAAGTCGGTCTACCTGCTCATGTGTTATGATACTGGACCAACTTATGTATTATTATAGAATTGGTTTTTTGGGCACTAGCTATGATAAGGTAATTCAAGGATCATTTCATCATTCATTAGCTTATCACATAATTTGGAATGTGTTATTTTGACCTGGCCTACGCGGAACTTCTATTTTCTTTGCAGAATATTTTTTAAAATATGGTGTTTTTCAATCAACAAATCAACCACCGTAATCATTAAAAATAATTTGGACTAATAGTCTCTAAAGATCAAAAAGTTTTCCTCTCCTGATTCAGTTTGGTCATACGCAGGAAAGTAATCTGACATATCTATATTGCTTCATGTTTTCTTTTCCATCGCCAGAGAATTTTCCTCCACTTCACATCATTATATTTTATATATTTGCTGATATTGATTTCACATTGAAATAATATGGAGGAAAGGTTTGATTCTCTTTTATTGGTTTTCTCATAGATCACACTGTACCATCCAATGAAAAACACGAGAAGAATTTTAGAATGTTATAATATAGAATAATAATTATATACTAGATTCTATTCCGTGCGTCCGCACGAGAACTCTTTTTATTTATATAATATAATTTTTTTATTTATATATAATTTTTTAATAATTGATAAAAAGGAATTTTCTGTTTAAATATAATTTAATTATATTGATTTATCTTTTCTAGTATTATATATGATCGTGATTAGAAAACTATTATTTTAACCCATCTATTAATATTTATTTAAAAAATATCACAGTTAAAAAATATTATTATAACATATTTATTTATATTAATCTGAAAAAACTAAAATTATTAAAATATTTAACATGTCCGTTCATATTATTTATATATTTAAATATTTAAATTTTAGACTTATTTAGTAAAAAATATAATAACATAATATTTTCATTTCTGTCATTGAAAATATTATTTAAATTTAAATATTTAAATTAAATCTAAAAAAAATATTTGGGTTATTATTTTTGTAAAAATATAATAATAGTTTATTTTATAATTTTTGATGAACTTATATTTAAGGAAATCTATAACAAATCTAAATTAAAAAACTAAATTTTCGAATTTATATTAAAATTGAAATTAAAAATATAATATTTTATTAATATTATACTAAATTAACTTTTTTGGTAAATAAAAAATTAAAATCATAATTGTTTGGTAACAGAATATTTATCCAAAAACAGAATAGTAGAAAATCAAGTAAAAATTGTGTTTGGACACAAAACACCCTTCTTTTTTAATAGTATCTTATATATAAAAGTTGCTCAACTTTCTCCATATGCTTGACACATCAGCATTGGAGAGGTTGACATCTGTTACTTAAATTTTAATATATAAAATTTTAATATTAAATTTTAAAGCACTTAAAAAATATGAAAAGTTTATTTTATTAATTGACTCTTAACTAACATTTATATTAATGTTAAATAAAAATTTATGTTATACCTAATTAAAAATATTGATAGAGATGTATTTAATTTTTATATAACTGTAGATTACTTAATAATATTCAAGATGTACATTAAATTAATTTTTTAAAAATTATTTATAATAAAATACTAACAAGTAACAAATGAGATGATGATTATATTAATTTTAATTTTTTTATTAATTGACTATTAATTAATATTTGTATAAATGTTAAGCAAAAATTTATGTTATAACTAATTAAAATTTTTGAATGATATTAATTTTAATACAATTTTTAATTATTAAATAATATTTAATATGTATTTTAAATTAATATTTTAAAATTTTTAAGAATAAAATATTAACAAGTAAGTAAGTAATAAGTGATGATTATTTGAGAGGTTGACACCTGTCACTTAAATTTTAATATATAAAATTTTAATATTAAATTTTAAAGCACTTAAAAAATATGAAAAAGTTATTTTATTAATTGACTTTTAACTAATATTTATATTAATGTTAAACAAAAATTTATGTTATAACTAATTAAAAATATTGATAGATATGTATTAATTTTTATATAACTGTAAATTACTTAATAATATTCAAGATATATTTTAAATTAATTTTTTAAAATTATTTATAATAAAATATTAACAAGTAACAAATGAGATGATGATTATACTAATTTTATTTTTTTATTAATTGACTATTAATTAATATTTGTATAAATGTTAAACAAAAAATTATGTTATAAGTAATTAAAATTTTTGAATGATATTAATTTTAATATAACTTTAAATTATTAAATAATATTTAATATGTATTTTAAATTAATATCTTAAAATTTCATAAAATAAAATATTAACAAGTAAGTAAGTAATAAGTGATGATTATATTAATTTTTATAAAAATATAATAAAAAATTTGGAAAATTGAAAAGAAAAACGTGCATGTAACGTGCGAGTATTCACCTAATAGATATGAAAGTAGGTTAACTCTCTCCATATCTTGCCACATCAACAATTGAGAAACTGACACCTGTCTTTTCACATAATTATTAAATTATAAATTTTCGAATTAAAAGTCAAAAACTAATTAATACCACTAATTTTAACATAATTATTCTTTTTAATATTTATCTCATATGTATTTATGTTCATAACTATTAAGTTACAATAAAATTAAGGTTTTTCATATTTTTAATAAAAATAAATAAACAACATTTCTAACTTTTTGGTATTCGTCTATGACCTTTTAATATTTTTGGTACTAACTTTATACTTTTTCTTCCGGGTTATCCTCATTATGACCACTTTTTTCGAAGTTTATTCTATGAAAGAATGTAAAAATGTAGTGTTCTCTTCATTCAAAGATTTTACAGTTTTTATGGGTCAACTATGATATTATTATACCTGCATTTCATTGTGAAACATAACGTATATGGTGGTTCTTGCAGAATCATGTCAATTTGTATATCATAAATATGAGAACATTAAAAACCAGAGGTAATTATATGTTTCCAAGCAATTCAACACATAAATGTGATTTTTATATCATGTTTATGATTTCTAGAATAGTAGAATAGGTTTACCCTATTTCCAATCCTAAAAAAAGTTATTTGTTTGATAAAGATTTTTTTAAAAAAAAAACTAATATCAGACAATCAAACAAATTATTATATTATTATAATTAATTATGTATATATATCAACACAAACATATTTTTAAAAATATTATGTGAAACAAAATCCATGCGTATGTGCAGAAACAAACCTAGTAATAGTAATAAATAACTACAATTTCTATCATGAGAGACGAGAGTTTTATTCAAATAAAAATATTCTTAAAACTGTAAAGTATAAAATAAACTATACAAATCCGCATCTCATCTTGTTCACTCAATCAGCTGCAAATAAGATGAATAATTTTATTAATAATCAGGATGACTTGATCCCACATGATAATTTTTTCTTTTTCTTTTGACAAGTGTTGTTTGGTACGAAGATGCAGCACCTTTAACATAAGTATTATGTTGTCATTTTTACATTTTATCATGTGATTTGGATTGACTTGGCATGACATTCTAATATCGTAACATTGATCGATATGCAGGTTTAACTTTTGTTATAAAAAATAACGATAATATCGTAAAAATATTGCTATAAAAAAAATGAAAGCCAAATTTTGTGAAACTAAAAATTGTTATAAATACCATGATATCGTAAAAATATTTTCTAGACTAATTTTTTTCTGAAATTTCATTTGTTTTTGGCCGTCATGATGCAACTGTAAGACTTTTCTAGAATACTTAATATGCAAAGTCATAAACTTACCATGAATATGTATTCCCATGGCTTCCCTCACGGTGCTTGCAATGCGAGGGATGGGGACATACAAAAGATGAGTGCAAAGCAGTGTATGGATCGAAAACGATTCTGCAGAAACCGACCTCACAACACACATCCTCTCCTATTACGGTTAGGAGATGACCGAAGTTGTGCGCGAAGTAACTACCCCACAGAATAAAAGCGGCCATAAATTATTGGAAAAGACTGCAGTGGTGAATGTGGAGAATGCTATGACAAACCTCCTAGCATCAGTAACAAAACCAAAGAAGCAGACGAATAACCGTGATCAAGCCAAGTCAAGTGCAGTCCAAATGACGGACAGTTTGGTCGCTAATCCATCTGGAAATGAGGAATGGATTTCACCGTCTAAATCCTCTCGCAACTCGCATATCGGCGAAGCCAGAACAGAGACCTTTTCCTCTACTTCTTGCTACGCGATTCTTGATGGAATGGAAGAGAATGAGGAGACTGAAAAGAATATAGATTCTGAAGCTGGCATAGAAAGGGATAAAACAAAGGAGGTGGCACTGGAAAACCCCGAGACTCAATTAGTGGAAGAAGGCGAAGCTACTCAAGAAAACGAGGAACCCAGTACACTTGAAGAGGTAACTGTTGAATCTAGTGATGGAAACAGAGCTCCTCTACACCGTGCGGCAAAATCTGCTCACAAATCTGTCCCTGGACCGCAAACAAGATCTACTGCTACTGGTCAGAAGTCACCAGGGCATAGAAAGAAGAATAACAAAAAAAATAATCCCCAATGACAGGTTTTTTTTGGAATATCCGTGGTTTTAACAAGCATTGCAAGCATGGTGTAGTTCGTGACTGGGTACGAGGGAATTCATTTTTATTTGGGTGTCTTTTGGAAACACGGGTGAAAGAAAGTCGGTGTTTACAGATAGCTTCGTCGGGTTTTCCGGATTGGTCTATTGTTTCAAATTATGAATACAATAGATTGGGATGAATTTGGGTGGTTTGGCATAAAGATGTGAGTATAACGGTGCTAAGAAAAAGCGGGCAAATGATTTCTTGTTTGATCTCAGTAGATGGTCAGGACGA